CGTCACGCACCGTGAGTGTGATGAGAGTATGATTGAGAGGTACTTGTGCCTGACACTATATGAATGTGCTGAGATATGTATATATGATGATTAAACTGTGATGTTGGCGATTTTGGCATCTATACTTATCATGCAGGTATAGAGTTGTATTTTCTTCATGTTAATTGGTATTTGATGTCTTTATCTGATGTTTAGAGCCTGAAATTGTAGTTTTCTTTTATAAATCCCGGTCTAGCTAATCACTCTGGAAAGTGATGCCTTGATTAATATACTTGAAAGCATGATTATTTCACCTCTTATTGTGATAGAGTTGAATCTGATATTATTTGAGCTGCTTCTCTTTTTGCCATTATTGTGTTGTTATTGTTGTTGTTGGCTGTTGAAAGTGAGTGTTGAACCTTGCCAACCTCGTCACTACTTTTAGAGTGAGGTCAGACTTGCTACTTATTGAGTACATTTATGTGCACAGCCAAGCATTGCTGATAGAGGTGGTTGCTAGAGAGCTGTTCACTGAACTTGTTTGGAGATTTCAAGGTAGTACTGTTGTTCCGTTCGCATGCCTTGAAGCCCCCTCCCTAATCTCATATTATTAATGTTTAGTCTTTCAAACAGTAATTGTATTTTGTTCGGACGTTGTAATTAGTACTCTATAGCGCTCATGCAATCGGTTACGCCAGAATTTTGGGTGGTTTTCAGTTGTATCTTGTTTTGACTTCAATTATTTATGATATTCCCTTATTGAGAATATTTTTTTACTGTTGCTAAAATTTATTTGTGCATATTTGTTGTTGGTTTGCCTAGCAAGGGTATTAGGCGTCATCATAGATCCGGTGAGATTTTGGATCGTAACAGATAAGCTCATGACAAATTATAGCCAACACTATAATAGTCACAATGAATCATTTAGTTGTTTGGAATAAAATATATAGAACTGAAAAAATATGATAGGGGCGCAGATAATTCATATAAGAGACTAACCAGCACGATAATTGGAAACATCATTTTCGGAGGGGTAAAACTTTGTATGTTTACATTATAAGCAGTCTTTGTAATTGTGAGAAAGTAGGGAGAGGGGGCAATGTCATTTACCGTTCATGAACTTTAGACGTTTTCCTTTATACGAAAAGCAGTAGGGATTAAGGTCTAGCTCACTGAGCTCTTTGCCTTCCACAATTATGGTGGAGGGTTCAAACCCCATTAATAATATGACATTCCCTTCCCTTTTCCTCTCCCTGGTGTAATAAAAATACAAAAAATAGTGAAATACAATTTCCTTTTCGAATGTTATGGACAATTTATATCAAATTTTCCTTAGATGTGGTGATCCCATATGTATTTTGAGACCTTGGGCAGGTCTGTATACTATTTATGGACTTATTTGAATGTTTAGGCGGGATACCGGGGGATTTGGGTGAGTTTTGGACCACCCAAAGTATGTTTTGAAGCACAGAAAAAGGCTAGTGCAAATAGGTTCTGGTGCGTACTTTTAGCGGCCAGATTGGGTAACCTTAGTGATGAGAGTTGCACTTTTAACGACTAGATTCATATTCTATATTGGGCGGTAATTTTTCTATAAGCTCATTTCACCATTTTGAAGCTAGGGAACTCGGATTGAGGCGATTCTGGAAGAGACGTTCACTCCAAACTCATGGGTAAGTGCTTCTACCTTGTATTTGATTATATATCATGATTTCCCATTAATTATTACACATAAATCAGGGATTTAAAAAGTAAAAAATTAGTTTTGACTTGAAACTTAAGAGAGTGTATTTTGAGATTTTAAACATCGATTTGGACTCGAATTTGAAAATTAATAACATATTTGGACTCAATGGAGTTATGGCTCACTAATATTTAGTCTTGCTTGCAGGTTTTTACCATGTGAAACTTTGTTGATTTTTTGGAATTTTTTCAAAGATCGAAGCTTTATTAATTGGTATTGCCTCCTTTAGCATTGTTTGACTTCCACGGATGATATTTGGCTAGATTTTTGGCACTTGAAGGTCAAGAACAAGGAAAATGTGTGATTTGGAGTTGAAGACAAGCCCGAAGAAGGGAAGTATCTTGCTTAACTTTGACTTGAGAGAATATTTTCTAAAAATGGATTTATATGCTACATGCTATGTATTTGGAGGTGATTTATATACGAGGTGACGAGCGTATATCCGGGCACCAAGGTTATATCATGCTAAGGGGTAGAGTTTATGCTTCGTTTTGCCTTGTTTTGGTACATGCTCGACTTGTGATATGCTTTAACTGTTGATATGACTACTTGAGCTTTCTTATTCATGTCAGAGATCATACCTAGGATTTTGATACTTTATTTGGATATGATGGATATTTGTATGATGGATTACATGTCGGATTTGTAGTCATATGTTACATATATGCCTATATATCATGTAGAGAGATCATCTTTTGTACACATGCATATATTCCTTATATGCTTGAACCTCAGTCTCACTTAATTGAGGATATAGCACATTGAGTTGTTGGTTGTGTGATGTATGTGAGTTGTTTGCGCTTTTTATTGCATGTGAATATGGATCCTTTCCTCATGAGCCTCTCTCTCATGTTTCTCTCTCGATGGCGTACACGTGGGTTATTAGATACTTGGAGAGTGCTGGTTCGAGGTAAAGTTTGAATTTTTATTATGCATTAGTGATACTATGCTCTTGTTGATGCATTTCATATAAATGCTCCTTGTGCGTATCCTTAATTATATATGCAGTTTATATGCCATATGCATTGGACTTGATAGTTGATGAAAGCATGCTTTATAACTCATACTTGAACTATGCATACTTTATACGCTGCTCCTGTGCTTTGTTTCTGCTATTGTGCATATTTATAAATTATACAGGTTATGAAAATTGAGTATATATCTTTTGACAAAATATCTCACTAATTTATTGGGGTCAGTCAATGATATTTACTGAGCTCACGTTGATTATTGTACTCACGATATACTGGCTGCATATTTTATGTGCAGGTACTAGTGGAATCCAGGAGACCATATAGGAGCTGCTTTGGAGACTCAAGATAGAACTACTTTGATCGATCACAGTGCCTTAAAATCACCTTCCTTTATCTATCTATTACATTGTTTTTTCCTTCGGACAGTACATATATATTATGTTTAAATCTTTATATTATAAACGGAAAAGGATCAAAATTGACCTTGAAGTATCGAATTTGGTACAAAAATACCCTCCGTCCACCTATTTAAGTAAAAATGCCGCTGCCGTTTTCTTTTTGGCTCAAGTTTGCCCTTAAAACTAACAGTCCTCTAGAAATAAAATAATTGAATATTTACTTATTATGTGGCGTAATCTGATTGGCCAAAAATTAAGCCATCTCCAAATTAAAAAGAAAAAATCACCCATAACTGAATTTTGACTCAACCGGCCTAAAAACGGGCTAAAGAGTTAAACCCACCTTGCCATATTCTTGTTTCACTTTTTTCTTAAGAAGATGAACATGAAGAACAAAGTACCGTTTTCGTGAATATTGAAGGCCAAACTGATAGGAGCGAACCAGATATAACCACCCGTCCTTTTCACATTAATTAATTCTCGAATACCCCTACTTTAGAAAAATACATCAAAATAAGACTTCCACTTCAATTTTGCGGAGTTATGCAACAAATTTTTCAAACAAGAAATGATATGTTATGTCCCTAGCCTCAGTTGTGGTTGTTAAATGAAGAAAAAATTCTATGTAAGAAAGCTTCAATACAGTGAGTCTTTATAATGTCTTATATATGATTATTGTTTTGTCGATATGGGCTATCTATATATTTGGAACTATTAATAATGGAAATTTTTAACACTTGAAGAGGAGAATCTATTGTTCTTCTTTGTCGATTTTAGTTTTCTCTGATTCTTCTAATTCCAATAAAAAATAATTTGGAAAGATGAATTTGTGTAATTGTGTGTTGAGGTGATAAAATGAGAGAGCCGAAGAAAACCAATTAAAGAAAAAATGAAACAGGAGGTTATGCCGGTAATATTGCCGGAGCCGAAGGTGGAAACTTAAATTTAAGCAGAAGATGAGGTTTAAAAAAATATTTGGGGTGGGTGGGTTTGTATATCTGGGATAAGGTTTATGTTAGGCCACTAAAGTGCTGACATGTGGATAATAAGCTTTTTTATTTTACAAAAAGAAAAATAATAATAAGTGCCGTCAGAGAAGGGGTAAGGTTGAGCCGGAAAGAAAACGACAGGGACATTTTTACTCAAATAGGTGGACGGAGGGTATTTTTGTACCAAATCCGATACTTCAGGGGTAGTTTTGGCCCTTTTCCGTATTATAAATCGGTTGTAGTATCTCATGACTTCATAACACCAGTTTCGGTGGTTGAATTGATGTACTTCTACGCTTATTTTTACTTATTTATGCTATCTCATTAGACTTTGTTATGTGTTTAGTCTTGTTCTTGGTCATTGTATCGTTGGTTCGTCTAGCCGGCGGTGTTTGTGTCATCACAACCTTGATAAGAATTTGGATCGTGAATTTAATCTCTGTATCAAATTTGTCTGGAGCCAAATGACTTCTTAGAATATGTTATATGCTTACTTAGTGGTGACAAAATGGTTAAAAGAAAACAGTTAACCACCCATATTATTCACTAAAAAATTGGTTGGACAATGAACTTTTTAAAAATCGGTCAAATATGGATAAGAACCATATTATCCATTTAGAAAATGGATAACTAATGGTTAACCAATGAGTTTAACTTTTATATTTGTAAAAGCTCAAATTGAGGGTTCCTCAAGTTTGGGAGACTAGGAATTCTCCCAAAAGTGATTATATTCAAGAAGTCATGGATAACCCATATTATCCGATGGTTAATATCCGTATTAAATATGGTCGGGTCGGATAATTTATCCGTTTTTTCATTACCCGTTTTCGACCCGAACCATATCCGACCCGCCCATTTGTCACTCCTATGCTTACTCAACCCGACTAAACCAAGTAGATTACTCAAAGCTTAAGGAAATGTGAAGCTAATTAGGTGATTCATAAGGGAAAATGGCATTCTCTTTTCTGTATACATATGAAAACGTCAGGCCTCACTCTTCATGATACTTCCATATAGCAAAATGGGCTCTTAATTTTACATTGTAAAAGTCCTAAGAAATAACATGGAGTTGGAGAGACTAGAATATTAAGGTGGGCTGTTGGGAATTCTACTCAAAATGGAGTGTTCTGGTTTGTGATCACACTCATAATCAAGATGGACAAAAGCACGTTCAACTTCTGGAAGTTCTTCAATCTTAATCTGAAGTGACTCTCCAATGGAATGGGCTTCTTTCAGTGGCAAGTCTTCTGGGAGCTCTATGTCAACCTGTTATAAAACAGACGATTATGCACCAAGTTTTTTTTTTTCTAAATGTTCCAAAATTATACTACTAGAGAAGATAATAATTTATAATGTTGAGTATTCATATAGCTGACTCCAACTTGGGACGTAGTGGTTTTCTGGATCTCTTCAACCCATTTTATGAACTATTAAAAATTGAAAATTGTGCAGGAGAAAAGAACTTCAGAGTGTTGGACATCGCACCTCAACAAAGTAAAGAACTCCAAAAGTATAGGCTCGAACGGTATCAACTCTTTTTATCTGAGGATCATGCCTTAGAACAAGATATGTAAGTTTCTGTAGAAAGTCAGGAGGGGCTGATTGTCCAACAAGAGAAACTGCAGGAGAGAGCAACATTCAAGTGTTAGCTAGGTAAATAGCAAATAAACATCAAAATCATTCATGTTAGCTGACAAAGGAAAAAGAAAGAACCTGCATTTTCCAGCACAGTTCCTGACCAATTTGTAATTGTATATACAGCAAGGACAATAGCACCAACAGGATCGATCCACCAATAGAATCGATCACCGAGAACAGCAGCAACCAAACCGACAACATTTGTTACCACATCGAAGTAATGATCCTGGATATCATGCATGGTTCCATAATTTGTCAAATGTTGCTCAACAGATAAAAGAAAGGATACACTACGTTAAATGAGATTTTTCAGGAGAGTATATGGGGAAAAAGGACCTTTGCATATGCTCTAACTATCTTGTTTCCTGAACTTCTGCAATAAATCCATAAGACGAGCTTCACTCCAGTGGCTGTCAGCATGATTGCATATAGCCAAGCCAGTTGCTCCTCGGTCATCTTGTCCGAAGGTGTATCTTTTATCAGTTGTTCCACAGCCTGCACTAAGACCTGAAAGCCTATGCAATCGCAGATACTCAATTAGTGTGCTAGGATACGATCACCATACATGCGCTGTCTAAATGCAGATCAGAATGAAATAAAAATGCAGACTTCCATTGTAACTTCTTTAAATTGTTCTTTTCCCTTTATTTTTTCACAAGGACAGAAATCATGACCAATACAAACAATCATCATAGAATTTCTATTTCTCTTAGTCACTTCTCTTTGCAATTTTTTGGTATAATTTTAGTCTTACTCCCTACTTAACCACCAAAAATCTACAAAATATAACCTGCTAAGAAGTGGTTATTCATACAGAGATATTCACCATCAATTTGCAATTCGTAGTGCTTCAGTCGAAAACTTTTTGGTCTAAATTTTTCACAAGATAGATGTTCTTCATTTGATTCTTCGGTATCAATGGTTATTCATGAATTCTAGACTGCCAAAATTAAGAGAAAGATATGACAGGTGCATCGGCACGTACCAAGAGTAGCCATAACAGCAGCAAAGATGATAATCCCCACTGGTTGAACTCTTAACTTTCCTATAGGGTACTTGTAAATGTTTATACTCTTCATTGACAAGTGTGTGAACCAAAGAATACCACCAGCCATTAGATCAAGTAATGAATCCAACGTCGACGCTGCAATGGCTAAAGAACCACTTTTTACAGTAGCGTAGATCTGCAAACCGTCCAAATTAACGAGGGTTCAGTTTGATTTAAGCAAATTTAACTACTCATAGGTGAAATATACAACATTTCTTTTCTCTACAAGGAAAATTATTGGAGAAAAATACCTACTGTCTCATAATGATGATTCAATATGTCATTAGTGTCAAAATTACATGTGGTATAATTTGAGCAAGAAAAATTAAGTAGCTGAACTAGCTATTGCAACTTCAAACTAACCTGCCCTCAACCTGAGGGCTGTTTTCCTTTTCTTTGAGATACTCCCTCCTGTTCACAATAAGTGACCAATTTGCTTTTAGCACACCCATTAAGAAAATACTAAATTCTATACAAAAATACCTACTATGACTAAACTACCCCTAATTAAACATTTAATGTGAGGAGTAAGAAAATTTTTTAGGGATATGTACATAGGGGTTATTTTGTAAAAACAAATTGAATTCTTTCTTGATTACATAAGTGGACATTTATTTTGAACTAAAATGAAAAAGCAAATCGGTCACTTATTGTGAACCGGAGGGAGTAAGAAACAGGATCTTGGGGCACTCAAAGATGTAGACTAGAAGTCAGAAGTGGGTGAAAATCATGAGAGACCAAGGTTCAAATCTCAACAAAGATAAGAAAAATGATACTCCCTCCGTTCCAATTTATGTGAACGTGTTTGACTGGGCACGGAGTTTAAGAAAAAACGAAGACTTTTAAAATTTGTGGTCCTAAACAAGTCAAAAAGGGGTCCAGAGTAATTGTGTGGTTATAAAAGCTTCTTAGTAAGGGTAAAATTGGAAGTTTAAGCTAAATTGTTTCCAAATTTAGAAAATGGTCATTCTTTTTGGAAAGGACCAAAAAGGAAATAGGTTCACATAAACTGGAACAGAGTAGTAGGTGAATTCTTCCCATCTGTCTGAACCTTAGTGAACAGATGTAACCTAATACTTGTGTTAGCGGGAGTTGGCAGGCAACTGTTGAATAGTTGAGGTGCGCTCAAGGTGCACTAAGCTCCCGCTACGCGTGGGGTCCGGGGAAGGGCCGGACCACAAGGGTCTATCGTAAAAAGATAATACTCATAATAAAGGAAAAAAAAAAAGGGATCCTGGGGTCTATTTTGAGCAGAAAGGAGAAGGTTTTTGGCATTAAAAGTTTGTACAATGAAAAAGAAGTTATACCTTAAAGGCAAGTAATAAGACATTTGCAAAATTGGAAATGTTCATTGCTCTTTCATGCTGTGCTTGATCTAGTAAGTCTTGTTCTTCATCAATGGCATCAGCTGAATCAAGTGAGTCTACTTCCTCAAACGACTTTAAAGTTGCAATCTGTCTTTCATAATATTCTTTCTCCCCTATTCATAACATCATAAATAACAATAAGATAACTACATTAGAAATTAAAAAAAGAGATAAGCAAAAAGATGCATTACCATCAATTAAACCAGTGGTTTTAGACAAATCCAGAAGAAAAGGTTCTTCAGGATCAAGACCTGTCTTAACCTTTCTAGGTAGTTTAGAGAAGAAATCGCATCTCATAGAAGTAACTGAGTTTCGACGCACATTTGGAACTTCATTCCTCAGCAATGGCTCTTCCACATCCATTTTTTATTTTCTTTATCCAAAAATGAATCAAGAAAAGAAGTGGGAATGGATGGAATATAACAGAATTTTGAAAATTCAATTCCTCCGATCCTCAGATCAAGAAACAGCCAGAAATGGAAATTAGGGAAAGAAAGGACAGGGAATTTGGCATATGTTTCTCACCTTCCCTTATCCTTTCTTTCCCTTTCCTTTATTTTCAAGAGAGAAAAATTGGCTGTTGATATATATGCTGACAAAGTTAAGAAGTTTGAAACATGTGAAAATGCGTAAGATATCCAAATTTTCAGTTTTGTTTTTGCTCTCTAAAATTGTGGCATGCATGAGGAATGTGACTTGTTTGGTCTTGCCTTTTTTATCATTTCCTTAATTTTTCGTTTCCTATCTTTCTTTTTTTTTTTCCTTTTTTGGTTTCTAAGTTCGTTAGGATTGAAACACACACCTAATTCCATGATTTTACATAAGGCGTGAATTACTTTGACTGTTTCTACATGAATTTCCTCATCTCTTGTCTCATTCATTTATTGATTGTAGTATTTAAAATCCATACAATTAAGTTAGGTATAACCTTTTAATGATAGAATTGAATGATGATCCGTAATATCATTCATACAAGGTTCGTTTCTTACTTGGCTCTTTCTTTTTCGTTATTCTAACCCACCTAAAATAAAAGTTATTAAGAGTGATCTCTATTAAATTTAAGGGAAAAAGGCTTAATATATCTGGATATTGTCCACATTTAACCTTTGTTATACTATCCGGTTAAATTTATTCCTACCATTATACTTCGACCAAATTTATCCCTACCATTAGCAAACTTTTAGAAATTACCCCCTAGTCCGTCAGGTGACACAGAATCTCTCAAATTATTTTAATTAATCACTTATTCTATTTCTTGATCGACTATTTTTAAAATAATTGGCATTTAACTGGTTTTTTAATTTTAAAAAAATAAGAGAAAAAATATTAAAATAATATAACGGTTAGTAAATAAAGTATAGTAAATTGAAGAATCTGGATTAGGTAGCCTGTTTAATTCCAAAAGTATTTACAATACCCCAACTTTAATGAATTTGTTACACCAAATGTACGAAGACTTCGCAAGTATTAGTGATAGAAGTTGAAGTTCCTTGGTGACTTTACATTGTCGAATTCAACTTTGATTTAATTAAATGCCTACGCATTGTGCACTCTTAAGTTAGTCGATCGAACTCTATACTAACGAGACAATAACAAAACATATTCCAATAAACATGTACATACATAATGAGCAGCTGCATATAATACATAATAAATAGACCTATTGAATTCTACTGTGTGTATATGGTTGAAAAATAAATAAAAATTTAAATCAATTCCAAACCATTATCAGAATAAGAGAAGCGGGTGCATTGGTAATTAAAAATATCCATGAATAATTTGTATAATACCTTTAGCATTCACATCAATAGTAATTTCTGAAAATAGTGGACCAAAAAGAACAACAAAGTGATTTAAATAAAAAAGAAATTGCGAGATTTTGGATTACCTAACAGATTAAGGGGTAATTATTAAAAGTTTGTTGATGGTAGGGGTATATTTGGTTGGATAGTGTAACGGTAGGAATAGATTTAGCTGAATCGTATAACGGAGGTTAAATGTATACAATATCCGAAAGTAAAGTGGTATATTTGGCCCTTTTCCCTAAATTTAATGATGTTTGATTTTGCCACGTGAATCGATTTTATTAAAAGAGAAGGCACGATTAGAATTAGAATTTAATTTTACTAGTTCTAAATTTTAACTATTTTTAGTTATTGGGTTCTAAAATTACTATAATTTGTACGTATTAAATAAATTTCTTAAGACAAATACAAAATTTGAACAAAAGTTACTGAGTATACACAAGAAAGAAAATTAAAAGTAAAATTCATCCCTCTATACATTATCCACGGTACATAGACTGTTAATTGACTACTGATTAATTGGGAGATGAACTCACTCACGGTAAATACTTATCCAAATCGGGTGTTTACATCAAACTATATTAACTCACCATGGTTAACTAATTTAATAAGATGAGAATGCATATAATTTACCATGGTTAAATGATTGAAGTCCATATGCAAGATACATGTTATGAATCTATTGGTTAGGTGTAAACACCCGGTGCGGTTTTACCACTCACTATTAGGGGTGCAAATAGAATGTGTTATGAGTCCAAAAATTATTTATATGCATTAATTTTATGGCTTTTTCGTATGTGCGTGTGTATGAATCTTTACCCGTTTTCATGTTACGGGAAAATTACATAAATAGGACTAGAAATAGTTACACATAATAGATACTCCTAATGAAGTTACACATCTATCTTAGAGAAAATAAAACTGCTTTTTTATTTTTTTTGTATGGCAGAGAATCTTAGAAAATATGAGACCTTAGTTTTCAATATCAAACACCTAGCCTATTAAATGAACCAATGGGGTTATGCCTGGTTCATATAATTTGTCACATCAAATTAAAGGGTAGGACAAGTATTGGTCACTTCACTTGATTTATCAAAACTTTTTATAATCATGAATTGGTTTTGTCATGCCAAAGGGTGTCAATTTCATGTGCATGTAAATATTGATTAATGGTACAGTACCTCATTTCAGTAGTACTAGTACGAGATACCTAACTCGTCTTCTTAGGACTCGTTTGGTATGAGGGATAAGGAATAATTAATTTCGGGACTAAATTTAAGAAGAGTTTATTCCATGTTTGATTGGGAGAAAATTGCGATATAATTAATTCCGGAATTAGTTATTCCGGGATTGTAGTATTTTTCTATCCCCATGGAAAGGTGGAATAGTTAATCCCGGGATAATTAATCCTGGTATAATTTCTTTCCAACCAAACGACCCCTTAGTGATCAAATTATTTTGGTTGTTGGAGAAAAGATTTCTATATTCCAATTAAGTTAATTAATCAGTTGTAGTTGTTGGATGAAAAGTAGCAGTTCTACCAGCACTAAACTCTATTCTCTTTTTAATTACATTAGATTAGCCACCTCCTACTTAATCCCTATTTGGAGACATATGCAATGGGAAAATTTTTCATTTAGAGTGTTTGCTATGATAATAGTTATTTTCATGAAATATATTTTTTTTTAAAACATTTTTCAGTGTTTAGTTGGTGACTGAAACAAATTTTTAGAAGAAAGTATATTATAAAATAATAATAATAACAATAAATCTGATAGTATTTTGTTAGTTGGAACAAGTGATATGAAATTAAAATTTAATATGAGTTCTAAGAAAAATACCTTCCATCCATGAATGAGGGAAGTCTGTTTTCTTATTTTAGTAACCAAACATTAAAAAATGACTCTCATAAAAAATATTTTGCTGAAAAATGACTCTAATCGTACTAAATATACCCCTAATGACTTTAATCATACTAGAGAAGTATACCAAAGGACATATCTAGAAAAAGTTGAACATAAATTAAACAAAGGTTATTTTCGTTATCGTAATTAATCAATTGTTACACAAGGAAAAGCCTAAATATGGAAAGTTGAAAGTTGTAACCGAAAATCAGGCAGGAAGCATCGTATTATCTTTGACTTTTGATTTAATTAAGAATTTAAGTTTTTTTTTTTTTTTTGGTGTGATAAGAATTTAAGATGCTTGTGATGAATACTGCCATTCAGACATTTGGTGAACTAACACACACATTTGACGATCGAATATTTCATTTTCATAAGTTTTCATTTGTCAGCATCACATGCTCCATAGAGAATAGATCTAACTTAATAAATTATTGCATAAAACAGGCATATATACCTAATACTTAAAATAAAATAAACATTGCATTAGGTCATATATATCCAGCGTGGTAGGCTAAGATATGACTGCAATCTAACTTATAAATTTATTACTAGTATCTACTACTATGCCTGCAATAATCTTTTTATGAATTTATTAATGTCTACAATTGCAGTGATACGGGTCATTTTCTTTATTATAATTGCACAATTTACCTATGATTACTTGTGATTGTTACACATTTCTTGACCCATAAATTGCATAATGTAGTATGTTTGCCGAAAAAATTACATACTCAAATCCGATATTTACGCTAAATTATATTATTTATCATACAACAACAACAACGACCCAGTAAAATCCCACAAAATGGAGTCTGGATTAAATTATATTATTTATCATGATAAATAATATAAAAAAGTGAATACATATTAATTTAACCACACAAAAGTAACATCTTTTAAGGAGATCTCTTCACCAATTGATTATCACAAAGTCTATATATATATATATATATATGTTTAAAAAAATTGCATGCCAAATATTACATGGGATAATTATTAACTCTATATGTCAAATAGTGCTAAAAACATGGCGTATTTCTTTTTTGGTGTGGTTAAATAATCAAACTAAATTTTGCAAAAGAAATGGAAAAAAGAGAAAAACATACCTTGCAGCAATCCTTTAGCAGCAGAGAAATTAATATTGAGAGGGTCTTCAACATCAACTCCACATTTAACTTTCTCAGGCAATCTTTGAATGAAATCACCTCTCATATCACTCACTGTTTTCACATTATTCATCAAATACTTGTTAAACCATCCATTGTTGTTCTCTTTTTTCATTATAAATGGCACTTTCACATCATCCTCATGCCTCTCCATTAATTTTGACCTACAAATACAGATAAAAAGGAAATGAAAACTATCTCTGGCTGGTCTTATGACTACTAAGTATATATATATATATATATATATATATATATATATATATATATATATAAGGAAGGATAGATATTTATCGTTTTTTTTATGTTCTTTTTCTTTTTCCAAGTGGGGTTGTCTGTAGTAGCATTTATAGTTACTAAATGCTTTCTGATCTATTTGGGCAACGGGCACAGTTTTTTATTACGTACAACTACGACGCCGTGTGGATTGGCTTGTTTTAAGTGTGTTTAAGTCAAAATAGTTTTTAAGTCATTTTGTAGCGTTTGGATAAAATAAAAAAAAAGCACTTGTTTTTAACCTAAAATGACAAAAACAAGCCAAGAGTCAAAAGTTAGAATTCCTAACTTATGGCTTAAAAGCTATTTTTGGCTTAAAAATCACTTAAAACAAGCACATCCAAACGGGCTCTAAATTCTGAAGTATGTATATGTGCTCTATAGAAGGTGGAACTGGCACCTGTATATACTGATATTGGTTAAATGGTTGAACCAAACATCAACAATTAAGGGGTCATTTGGTTACCAAGTGGAATTGACAAGGATTATCCTATGGGATATCTCACAT